AAACTCACGGACATATCCCTCGCCGACCAAGCTATCTTTCGTGGGTGGTGGCCCAAATAATCCCGACAGCCCGACGCGCCGTCTACTCCTCCTTCCTCATGGCCTCACCCCGTCTCATGGAGCCCATATACACTTGCTCCATGACAGGGCCCGCTGACTCCGTTGCGGCTATCTACACCGTCCTTTCTCGAAGGCGCGGCCACGTACTCTCCGATGGCCCCATCGCTGGCACCCCACTTTACGCCGTCCGCGGCCTAATCCCTGTCATCGACTCATTCGGCTTTGAGACAGATCTGCGCATACACACGCAGGGCCAGGCGATGGTGAGTCTTGTCTTTGATAAGTGGAGTGTCGTGCCTGGGGATCCGTTGGATAGGGATGTGAAGCTGCGGCCGTTGGATATGGCGAGTGCGATGGCGACGGCGAGGGATTTTGTGCTCAAGACTAGGAGGCGCAAGGGGCTAGCGGAGGACGTGAGTGTTAGTAAGTTTTTAGAGCCGGAGCTTTGGAAAGGGTTGAGAGAGAGTGGCGTGTTAGGGGAGGGGTAGTAGGAACTGGTGTTTTTCTTCTCCTTTTTGCTCCTGGCTATTTCCGCAACGTAGTTTGATATGTTTGAAGGGTCTTCACTTTGGTTGGCTTGCAGGTATTTATGTACAGTACAATTACGGTGGGGTTTGATTTTGCTTGTATTCACCGGCAAGATTAAAAAAGAAAAAAGCATTGAGTGGAAATTACACGGTATATAATGTATAGAATTTCTATATTGCAACGATTAATCTAAAGCGCAGTTAATCTCGTTTTCCTTGCTTACCTATTTTCCCAAAATGCAGTGGGGATACATTACCCATAAATCATATCAGTCATGTCAGTCATATCTTTTTTCCACGCATCAAAGCCTGGAATCCAACCTCCGAACCCCAGCCGCCGGAACAAACCAAATGAAAAGTAAAGGACAGGAAAAAGGACATGAAACGCCATCCAAACTCCATGTGCAAGGAATCCCGTTAAATAAAATGAAAAAGAAAACACCACCCCCCTGCCGGCCCCCCAACCCTCACTGACACGTCTCCAACATCTTCCCAATAACCCCCATAAGCGTCCCATTCTCCAACGCAGCCGCAACCCGCTCCTTATCCGCGAGCTGCTTATTCACCTCGTCTGCCGTACTATGCGTGCCCTCCTTGATACGCACATCAACGCGGAAGCGCGGGGGCAATGACTGCTCCAGCCGCACACGCACACCTAGCCCGATCACTGTGGCAAGGGAGCAGTGGGTTATTGTAGGCGTTATCAGGACGGAAACGGTGCGGAGAGGGGAGTCGGGGTTGCTGGGGAGGGAGGGCTGGATAGAGATATCGAGAAGGGAGACAACGGCTAGGGCGCCGAGGGATATGGGGTGTTCTGGGTCGGCGATTGTGGCGATGAGGTCTGCGGGAGTACATGTGGTTAGTTTTTGGTATACTAGATTTTTTGAAGTAGGGAATTTGGGAGTTAGACGAGAGACTAGGTATGCACCGTATATTTCTTGCTCGTCAATGGGCTCTTCCATCAAATCATCATCTTCGCTTTCGGATCCAGATGAGCTGCCGTTAATATAGCTTGCGGCAAAGGGGTCGTGGAAGGGAACCGCTAGGAGATCATGGCCAAATATTTCGCTGGCATATTGTGACGCTGAGTTTGCGGCGGAGTGGCGGGATTTCTGTTGGCGGGTTGGGAGGTCTGCCTTGCTGAGGATTGTGGGGTTTGAATTCTGCATTGCCATTTTTTGGAGCCTTTGAGTATCTTCCCTATGTATCTTCTCTCTTCTGTGCATTTGTGTAGTTGGCGTGGTTGTGTAAAACGGAATGATCTTGGTTCGGAGGTTGTTGCGGCGTGAATTCGATTTGCCTCGTGGTGCCGCTTTAGCGGAGAGGAAACCCTCTTATTATTTAAACAACAATATTATTCTCACTGTCCAATGTCCGGTACATATATTTTCAACGGTAGTCACTGATATTCCAAAATTTGTTGAGATGTTTTGCTTCCCTTGTAAGATCGAGTCTATCCAAAATGGTAATCATGGGCTGGATGGTCCTTGCACGTCCGTCAAAATATAAAACTCGAATTAACTCCGGTCCAGTACCAGAAGTTAGGGGCTTGACGCCTAACTCAGCAGCCAAACTTTAGGCATGAAGCCCCTTATCCAGCCCGATTCCTTTACCAGTTATGTAAATTTTTACCTGCCTATATTATCAAAACGCCAGATTCGGTATTTTATCTTAGAGGCAATAATGATACAATCAATGTTATATCGGAAGTTTTAGAGTATGGTTATTCTTATTTATTCTTGGCTTCTTTTAATTTCACCGCTCCTCTACTTTATGTCAGATGCCCAATCATCAC